GCAGAGTTCAAAGCAGAGGCAGGCCTAGTTTGCAAAGTCACTGTAACAGTGAAGGTCTTTTCAGGGCCCCAGATGCCACTATAACTCAGGAGGCAAGGGGAGAGGGGACCTGGGGTGGGGAGCGGGTAGAGGCAACTGTTGGCAAGCAGGAAGGGCCTGGAGTTAATGGGTGCCACTCAAAAAAATTACAGGAAGACAATTAGGGCCCCAAGGCCCCGGGCATGAACAAACACAATCTTTGTGACAACCTGTGTTAAGCAACTAGGGCAAGCCCTGCATGTGTGTCTCCCTTCCTTTTTTTCCACTCATGAAAAAGGAGAAGGAAGATTTGCCTTTAGAGCTGTGAGACTCAGGGAAGCATGAAACACCAGAAGGCTTCGCCTGCATTTGTCTGCATGAAGCAGATTCCTTGGGTCCAAATCCTTCCAGCAGCTCAGCAGCCGGGTGCTGGCAGTGAGCCGAACTATTGTCACCTTGGAAATGAATGAATTCAGGCTGGCTCTTGAGTCCTGGGTAAGTGAGAGCTGAGGAGAGACAGGGTGGGGTGGGAGGCAGTTGAGGACCGGGAGAGCCAGGGTCAATGAGGACAGGTAGTAGAGGCCCTGAGGGGACAGCCTGAGTTCTCAGTTCCCATTCGAGCAGTCACCTGCTCTGTGACCTTGAGATACTCTCGTCCCTCCCTGGGCTTCGGCGTTGCCTGTTTGCAACAAACCAACAAACAGCAACAACAAAAACCAAAAGGGAAGTACCAGACTGTGCCAAGGCTTATCCTTCTGCGCTGAGAAAGTTTGGGATAATTTCCAAAACAGTTGCCGGCCCGTGACACTGAGCCCATGACGTTTGGAGAGTTAATGTGAATCTTCCACAGGGATGGCTGTTTGTATTCACAATACTGCCATGTTTTAGCAGACACTGTCCGTCACAGGACACAGATCGCAGTGTTCCATCAGATTCTTCCCTCATGCTTGGGTGTAGAGAAGAGACCAGAACCTCTATGGTAAAGATGGAGGTCCAGTTGTCCTTGAAGAAGGGGGCATGAACGGGGAGGAGGGGGTGTGATACGATGTCTTCTGGACAGGACACGGCGTTGCACTCAAGAACTCACAGCAGCTGTAGTGACCTGCCTAAGACCAAGTCACTTAAAATCCCAGCGTGGGTGATGGAGGGGCTCATGAGGCCCCGCCCCTGGCTGAGGAGCTAGTGGCAGTTGATGGAGGCTTGAGGAGGAGAGTTGCTCTTTCAGAGGGTTTGTGGTCACTGGGAGATTACCTGTGCTCTAATAGGTGGCCCCACATCTTTGTGCATAGGGGCAGCACTGATTGGATGAGGAAAAAGAGGAGGAGGAGGAAGAAAAGGAGGAGAAGGAGGAAGTGGAAGAGAAAGAAGAAGAGGAGGAGGGTGTTGGAGGAGAGTCCAGGGAAAGTTACAGGAAAGTGATGAAGAGTGGCATGACTAAAATGCATTGTATACATGCATGAAATCCTCAAAGTATAAATAAAATACTATATTTTAAAACCGACCTATCCCAGCCTGCTTCTCTGCTGCTGTGGTAAAACACGGGCCAAAGGCAACTTGAGGTTGAAAGGGTTTACTTAGTCATAATCCATAAGTAAAGACAGGAACTCAAGCAGTAACCTAGAGGCAGGAACTGAAGTAGAAGCCAGGGAGGAACACTGCTCACTGCCTTATTCCCATGGCTTGGTTAGCCTATGTTCTTATACCATTCAGGACCAAACTAGGCCCAGGGTGGCATCACCCACGGTGGGCTGGGCCCTCCCACTTTAACTATCAATCAAGAAAATGCACTACAGATTTGCCCACAGGTCCATCTGTTAGAAGGAACTTCTCAGTGCAGGTTCCCTCTTCCCAGGTGACTCTAGTATGTATGGAAATGAGAAAACCTAACCGGCATACCACAAGGAAATTGAAATGGAAGCACTGTGCTGAGCAGCAGAGCGTAATTACTGAAGTTATATGGGGTCTTCAGATGCTCCCAATTACTGCCCATCCATCCATTTGTCCCCAAACTGTCATCTGCGCATGTAAGCATGTGCTTTTCCTCCATCCAATGGCCCAGCCCACCACTACCTCCTTCCTGAACCCTTGAGTTCATACAAAAACCTGCTCATACATTTGTGCTGATATGTAAGTTGGGTGTGGTGGCTGGCACTTGTGGTCTCAACACCTGGGAGGCTGGGATAGGATGTTTGCAAGATGTAGGCCAGCCTGGGAGACAGAGCCCTGCACCAAATCAATAAGAAGAAGCGCTTTATACACACGTATGTGTTTGCCTTGTCACTTAAAACCACATTTGCAGATAAATACAACTGTCTTCTCAATCCACGTATCAATTCCTTCAGTCCTTACCCACTGAAACACACACACGTATGCATGTATGTGTGCATGTGCAAACTTACACATACAAAATAAGTAAGTAGATAAACAAATGTAAGCAATTTTTAAAAGGGAGGCTATCGGAAGCCCCAAGAGACATTTCAAGACCCCCATGTCTTGGCAGAGGCAGGGTTTTACAAGTCACGGGGTCCTTTCTCTTTTTAAGGAATGGGGACATTAACACTCTGTGGGAGGTGAAAGACTGGTTTACACAAAGACATCCATAACCACCCTGGCTCCTCTGATAGGCTGCATTGCATTAAGTGAAGCAGGGATCTCATGGTGTGTTCAGGCTAAGGAACCTCACTCAGTTGGGGAGACCATTCTAGGTCAAGCCAAGTGTTTACAATGGCATCACAGAGCCTTAAAAGAGGGAAGCCCAGAACCCAGTGTGGGGGCACACACCTGTAATCCTAGCACTTGAGGGGCACAGGCAGGCAGATCTCAGTGAGTTCAATCCAGCCTGGTCTACAGAGTGAGTTCAAGGACAGCCATGGCTACACAGAGAAACCCCGTCTCAAAAAGGGGAATGTGGGACAGGATCAGAGCCATAAGGAACAGAGTGGCGCAGGGCTGGGTGCCAAGAAGTAGAGGTGGCTTCCAGGAAATGGCTAGTTTTCACAGGGCCCTCCTGAAGGGAAGACTCGGATGTCACCTTTGGTCACGATTCCCTGTATGCAAATCCCAGCTTGGCTGCTTCCTAGCTTTGCCCCTAGAAATACATCACCTTGTTCCCTTGTCGCTTCCTAGAAGTAGAGGGGCCTGGAAAAGGACCCGACCCCCAAGGTCCTGAGGATGGAACAGGCCACTGTGGAGTACTTGGAGCCGGACCTGCCCCGGACCACAGTCCCTGCCAGGATTCCCCATCTTAGTGCGAGGCACCCTCAAGAAGGCAGACAACACTCCGGAGTGATCCCAAGGGCACCCAGGCGCCGTGCATTAGACAAGGCCTTTTTAAGGCCACAGGCACAGGCTTTTGTGCCACCAGCCAATAGCTGCAGGTGTCACGGCCTTGGAGCCTCCGGCTTTGTGCCTTTCCATCTCGGATCACGTGAGCACTCAGGAGACACAGAACAGGTCTTGCTCTGCAGCTGAAAGACTCCAGCAGCCACCTCCAGCCTCCCCCCACCCTGCACGCTCTCGAGCACACACACAAACACACACAGGCACAGGCGCACAAACCCCCGCCCATGCATATATGCACTCACGCCAGGATCCTGCCATTGTGTGTCACAGCCTGAACTTTCTACCGTTCACGTTGGAGCCAGCCCAGCAACCCTGAGCGATTGCTTCCCAAGTCCTATTTATGGAGGTTTTGTTCGGACAGAATCGGATATTGTTGTTTTTTTACAGAGTCTATTTAAAAAACAGAATGCCGAGCCGGATCAGGCCGGGAGACTGCGAACAATGAAGATAAACGAGAGCTTTTGACGACGCTTTCCCCCAAATCAGAAAGGACAATGAGCGCTATTATGAGGAATCTGCTTTTCTCATCCCTTTATTTATTAAAAAACACAAAGCAATCTTGTAAGAGATCCTAAATATTTGAATCCCATCCTCGGTGACTTCTCCCCCGGGTCCTGCAGCTAGCTTTTAAAACTCAAGCCTGACTCCATGCTCCATTGTATCAGCATTCTGTCTTCCTTGGGCCAGGTGAAAACAGTCCTGCCACTTAGGCCATGACAGGTGGAGAAGAATCAGCTTTTACTTGCTTGTGACAAGTAGTTTGATGGTTTTGTGCCTCCAATTCCAACATTAAAAGCAGTAATAATTGTCTTCATGGATTTTCTCATTCACTCATTCAAAAAGTTTTTGAGGACTAATTTTGGGGGCAGGCAAAGTTCTAGATGTGAGGTCACATCCACCAGTAACCTCAGCGATTGAGAAGCTGAGGCTGGAGGATGGAAAGCTTCCAGCCAGCCTGGGCTGAATCTTGTTTCAAAATAAAAATGGAAGAGGAGAAAGAGGAAGGAGCGGAGGAGGGAAGACCTTAGTAGAGTCTTCCTCACTCCTCCCACAAGTGTTCTCAGTTGCTTCTGTGAAGTGACAGGACTCCCTTGGCATGCCCACCTGCCACACAGATGGTCACAAGCCTGGTGCTACTGCTGAGAGACTTCAGTAGAGGGAAAGAGCCCCAAGACCATTGTGCCCCTCCCTCACACTGCCATTGTTCTCTGCTGGGTAGGGTGATCCCAGGCATATGCTCTGAGCTCATAGCAGAAGATTAAATTAGAGGTGGAACCCTGCTCGCCCCTCCACCCGTTCAGAGCACGGGCGGTCTTGGCACTCTTCAAGCCTGTTTTTCCCTTCCCTGGGGATCTTGGGTGAAGGTTTTCATGGGGACTGCAGTGGGGTGGGGTGGAAGGATGGGGTGGGAGCATTGCTTTCCAAAATAAAGTCAAAGATAAGAGATTAAGACTCACAGGATCCGCTCCCCACAGTGCAGTTGTCTTAATCCAGGGCTCCCCCGGGTAGGGAGGGGCTGGCAGGCTGAAAAACATATCCTGGTTCAAAGGGCAATTCTAGTCTCCAGCAGGGAGAAACTAGAGGTCACCCTTCCATTCACACTGGTCACCGCCCTTCATTCTGATCAGGCGGCAAGAACACGTGGTCAACTCACTGGGAAGGAGGGATTGGAGTGGTGAGCAGATTCGGCGACATACCTAGTGGAAGACAGAAGGGGACAAAGAGGATGTTTCTTCAAGTCTCAGTGTCCCACTACACTCCTCCATTATTCAGAAAGCAAATGCTTTCTGAAATATGTATGTATGTGCGCGTGGGAAGGGGGTTGTGGATCGGCTCCGTGTGCACGGTGTGCCTGTAGAGATCAGAGGACACCTTGGTGAGGGGTGTTTTTTGGTACTCCAGGCTATAACACCTTCTGGACTCTGTGTATAGTGACAGAAGTTTCGGAGTGCAAAGCCAGGAGCATGTGGGAACAGGGGGATGCGCCTGAGCCCAGAGCGTTTGGGAGACCTTCCTGGAGGAGGGAGGGCCACACCAATTCCTCAGCCTTGGTTCCATTGCCAAAGTGGCAGAAGCCAGGCATTGTACAGTTACTAAGCAGCCTCCCTTGGCTCTGCCCATCCACGTCGGCAGGATTGTGCGCCTGCCTTGAGGGCCCGACATCAGAGCACCTCTACCTTAGTTCTCCTTCCCCTCCAGCTTGTGAACCCCGCCCACCACTCTTGCCCAAGGTCACGTGACATAGCCACAGTCTCCAACATGTAGCTTAGACCCTGATGCACTAAGTGGGAGGTGGGACCCTCTTACTCCTCCACCCCCTCAGAGCAGAGTACATCCTGGAACGGCTCAAGGCTGTTTGCTCTCCCTGGGATCTTGGGTAAAGCTTTTCATGGGGAAGCATACACATGCATGCCAGAGGAAAACCAAGGCTGCCATTCTGAAGTTCTTTGATATGGGGCATCCCACTATCCTAAAGCTCAGCAAGCAGCAAGGCTGGCTGACCAGTGAGTCCCAGGATCTGCCTGTCTTTGCCTCTCAAGCTATGGGCTTCTAAGAGCCACCAGGCCCAGCTCTTGTTGGTAGATTCTGGAGTTAAGACACAAATCCTCATGCCTTCAGGGCAAGTGCCATCCTGACTAGGCCATCTCCCCAGCCCCAGTTATACTGTTTTGTAGGTGAGAAATTAGAGGTCCAAACAAGATCCAATCCTTGTGTAGAACCAGCGGGTTTCCAAGTGTGTCGTATGCATAATCGACTCTTCTGCTCATGGTGCATTCAGCTCTTGTCCCTAACCCACCACACAGGCAGGGAGCTTCGAGTCATCAGCACGGAAAGTCAAGTTGGGGCTGTTTGGACTTCATGTGCAGTTTAGTGAATTCAACAGAGCATGAAAGACCAAGAGCATCAAGGAACATAAATCTGCCCCATGAGTGCGGATTAAGGGACTCTCAGCACCCCATCCCTGGGCCTGTCATTATAGCTCCAGTGAAGATGAGCCCTGGCTGAGGGAGCAAATCCCGCCTGTCACTTTGCGCCCACGGCTTGTCGCTGTGGTTTACGGCCCTACCTCACTTTATCACTGTCAACCCGGTTTGGAAAGCCTTCCTTCCTATCTGAAGACATCTGCTGCTGTACTGAGAAGCCAAACAAGGCTCAGATAGCTGGCCAGGGTTTGTGGAAGGATTAAGGAGATATGCTCTCCCTCCCTCAGACACAGATGAGGGTGTGGGGGGGGGAGAGTGAGAGCAGCAGAGGTGTGCTCCTCTTCCCTGATGACTGTCTGTTCTCCACAGGCCCAGAGAACCTGACCCAGTAAGATGGGAAGAAATTCTTCCAGAGCCCAGGGTGAGGCAGCTTTCACCTACAATCCTACAGTCTCCTTGGAAAACTAAATTATCTTGGGACACTGGGCACTCCCGGCAATAGCACATACATGTTTTTGTTTTTGTTTTTCTAAAAGGACCACAACAGTCTTCACTATTTGGAGCAATATCTCTCTCATCCCCGCCTTCGTGACCCCCAAGCACCTAGAGGTGGCACGTGAATGAATGAGCTCATGGACATGCCAGTGAGGAGAGGCTGGAGTCCAGAGTCAGCGCTGGTTTTAGTCTGCCAAACGCTGCTCTGTGGAGCTGGTGAGAGGAGCAGGACTCCACAGCTGGATTCCCTGGAATGCCTTTTCCTCAAGCTAGAGAGAAAGTCGTTGTGGAAGGGATTCTTCTCCCGCAGAGGGACTGGATGTGATTTCAGACACTCCCTGTGCTCTAACATCCCTGGAATGGCTGAAGATTCCGGGTGACTTGCTCAGAAGCATCTGAAATTGGACGGGATTGAGGGAAATGTTCGCTGCATCTGCATCTTCAGCATCTGGGAAATGCCTGGGGCACAGGTGTGTTTCACAAATAATCAATGAAGTATCTACCTGCTTATTTTTATTTATCTATTTATTTATTTATTTATTTATTTATTTATTTATTTATTTATTTATATTTGAGACAGGGTCTCAGGTAGTCCAGGTTAGCCTCTAATTCACTATGCAGATAAGGATGGTCTTGAACTTCTGACCATCATGGCTGGGACTGAAGTACAAGGATGTACCACCAGCCATGCCAACGCTAAGGTGGAACCAGGGCTCCCTGCATGCTAGGGAGCCATGCCACCCTCCTAGCTACTCCCTGAGCCCATGAGCTTCTGGTTCTAACTCCAAATGTACTGGGTGTCTGTTTGTCTGTCCTGGAGAGTCCCAGGGACTCTGGGACAGTCCACCTGGGAGTTCACATATGTGGTCACTGCAACAATTAGGACTGTCCCCTCAATCACCTTAGGGGGTCATCACTAGCCAGATGCACACTGGGAAGGTGGGGCACTTCCATGAGCATTCCCATGTGACTCATTCTGGAAGCTTCCATCTCTACTAGGCTAGATAGCCTTGGTTTGGGGGAACATGTGCTACCTTTGTCATTCTTCTTTTCTTTACATTGTTTCCCTGAAACATTTTTATCATGCATATTACAAGGCCATGTTTTTTTTTTTTTTTTTTTTTTAAGGCCATGTTTCTAAAATACTTGACCAAGTTTTTTCAAAATTCAGAATAAGGGGCTGGCAAGATGGCTCAGAAGGTAAAGGCACCTTCGGCTAAGCCTGATAGCCTGAGTTCAATTCCTCAGATCCATCTAGTAGAAGAAAACAGACTCATATAAGTTGTCCTCTGACTGCCACACATGTACTGAGGTGTGAATACCCCCTACACACAGACGTATACACACACACACACACAGAGAGAGAGAGACAGAGAGACTAAGAAACAGAGAGAAAGCAGTTCTCTGTTTTCTGGAATAGTATTTGAAACTCTTGTTTTGAGGACATGGACATGCCCCTTAGGTTGGTCTCCTGAAGGTGGAACTGGACCAGGATTGGATGAAAGTCTGTCTCTCCCAGTCATGTGATAGCTGTTCTCCATGATGGCTGTAGGCTTTGTAAGAAAAGCCAGGTGCAATGGGGCATGCCCTCAATTCCACAATCCCTGTCTAGACTAGGCTTCATGGTGAGTTCCTGGCCAGAATAGCCTATCTGCAAAGAGAAAGAAGAGAAAAGGAAGAAAGGAAGGGAGTGAGGAAGGAAGGAAGGAAGAAAGGAAGGGAGGGAGAGAGGGGGAGAGGGAAGGAAAGGTAAAGGGAGGGAGAGGAGGAGAAAAGGAGGGAAGGAGGGAGGAAGGAAGGTAGGCAATGAATAAAACAAAAGAATGAGTGAGAGAATGAAGAGAAAGTGAGGAAGGGAAAAGAGGTGAGGAAGGGGAGTGAAACTCAACACAAGTATAAACCTTGACCTCCCATAAATCAATCTATGGTGTGTGTGTGTGTGTGTGTGTGTGTGTGTGTGTGTGTGTGTGTGTGTGTATGTATGTGTATGTGTGTGTATGTGTGTGTGTGTGTGTGTGTGTGTGTGTTTCTAACATTGTCATGTAACCCAGGCAAGTCTCAAACTCTCTGTACAACCAAGGACAGCCTTAAACTTTTGATCCCATGCTCGTGGATCAAAGACTCCACAGTGGAATCTATGTTGCACTGGGGATGGCAGCCAGGGCTTCAGGCGTGCTGGGCAGTCCCTCCACCAACACCAGCTATGGCTACATATTCAGAACACTTGTGGGCATCGTCTGGCCTGAGGTAGCCCTCTCTTAGTAGCTCTTGTAAGTCTCCTTTGAAGGACTCTTTCCTCCAGCCTCCGACATTTCATCTGCCTGGTTGTCTGTTCCAAGTTGCCTCCAACTTCAGCAGCCCGAGCTGCTTAATTACACTAATTACCACCCGGGGCTGTGAGTTTTGAGCTAATGCTCTCTGAGGTGATTCATGTGGTAAGCGACACACCTGGGATTTCACCAAGATTCTACTTCTAATCCTAAACTCACTTAAGATACCAAATGTGTCCACACCCCCAGAGCTGGCAGCTGACAGAAAGGACAGGGCCCTGGGGACCTCCCACAATGTCTCCACATCCCTGTCTCCACCTCTGCCTTTCTCCTTGTCATCCTTCCTTGAGCAATTCTGACACACCCTTCCTTAAAGCAGGCAGGGCTGTACTTGTTGACAAATGTCACCAAGTCCTACAGGCGATAATGTTTGTGAGGCATTCAGGAGGAAGAAAAGGGGGGGACACCCCCTCCACCCCCAGTGACAGGTGTTTTCATTTGCATCCCTGACGGAAGCTTCCGACTACGGCGTCCTACTAGCACTTGTACGGCGTTGCTCACAGTGAAGACACCTTCCACCAGCTCCCGTCAGCCGTGACTGACAAAACTCTATACCCATTAAGTCCGTTTGATTCTCTGTGTCCTGCTCTGATTATCCGTCACAGTAAAACAAGCCCCAGGTTTAGTGAGGCAACCACTGTGTTTATTTTCAACCCCCATGACCTTACGATCCAGCCTTGGAAACCACAAACTTCAGCTCACGCCCATTTCGCCCCACTACCTCCGTGAGAAACACCCTCTGGCATCACTTGTGTGACCAGATCCTCCTGGCTCTGAGAGCCTGACTCATCCAGGGCATCCTCTCTGTAGCTCAGCCTCTTTCTTGTACAGATTGCTGTTTGAGCCACACACCAGGCCAGGGCACTTTCTCCAAGCCTTGAAGTCTAAAGCGTGACATCTCCCGTCTCACTAGTTGGGTTTACAGCATTGAGGAATTAATCTTTCTCCTGGCGATGGGTCATCTCTCTAGGTCCTGGGTCAAACATCCCCAACAACTTCTATCATGTGTCAGTCTCAGTACTGGATCCTTGGGCAACAGTAACTCACCTATTGTGAATATGAAGATGGAAGGATGGGGGGTCACCAGCTCATTCTGCTGGGAAGAAACTCAGACAAGGCCGGTGTGGTGGGGCAGGTGTGTAATCTCAGCACTCAGGACACAGAGGGAGGAAGAGCTTGAGTTGAAGACCAACCTGAGCTATACAATTAGACTGGGCTGGTCAGCTCTGTTGTCAACCAGACATGACCTAGAATCACCTGGAAGGACAGCCTCTATATGAGAAATCACTCACTTTTGCTTGGCCATCGGGAGTGTCTTTGTGGGGGTTTGTCTTCATTGGTCTGGGAAGAGCCAGCCCACTGTGGGCAGGACCATTCTCTCTGCAATGAGTTCTGGGCTGTGTATGAGTAGAGCAATGGAGCCGAGCACCAGCAAGGCTGCTATTGAGGACACTTATCTTCCTCTCTCTGCTCTTGACTGTGGATGTGATGTGACTGGTGGTTTGAAGTTCTTGTATTGACCTCTTCTCAATATAAGACCATGGCCTGGAATTGTGAGGTAAACCCCTACAGTAAATCCCTTTCTCCCTGTTTCTAAAATTGCCAGGGCAGTTTTAAGGAATAGAAAAGAACAAAGGTCCTGTCTTAAAAATAAAACCATGTCATTATGGCACTAATGGGCTACCTTACATGGTCAAGTTCAGAGAGGTGTTGGTGATCTCGGTGGTAATGATGTTCATGGTGGTAGTGATGATGATGGCTGTAGTGGTGAAGATAATGATGGTAACAATGATGATAGAGGTGATAGTGGTGGTGATGAGGATGATGGCAGTGGTGATGATTGTGATGAAGATGGTGATGGTGGCGGTAGTGGTAGCAGCAATGTTTTTTGTTTTCTAAGACATGGTCTCATATCCAAAGCTGGCTTCAAATCCACTATATATTAAGAGCCAAGAAAGGCTTTGAACTCCTGATTCCAATGCTTCCATTTCCCAAATGCTAGGAATTATTGGCATGTGCTATTGTACATGCCCTTCCTGATTCTTTTGTTTTCTTCATGGTCTGGTCCAAAGACTACAGTCATAATAGTTCAGGGTGCCGGTACCCCATAAACAACCACCTTATCTTACATGTTTCTTAAGCATCTACTTGCCAAGAAGTCTTAGGCTGTACTTATCTCCCTCCACCCTCTGCTCCAAGACCAAACCAGTTCCCATATTGTGCCCCAAACTAGAAAGAATGGATTGACAACCCCTACTACCCATGAATGTGACTTTATTTGAAAACTGTCTTTGCTGATGGAATCAAGGTAAGGTGAGGGTATCAAGCAGCTCCTAATCTACAAATTGGGTACTTTTATCAGAAGATGAAAAGAAAACAATAGTGAGAAAACCTGGTGACGACGATGGTGTATCTTGCTTGACGTGGTGCAGATGTGGTGTGTATCAAGGACACACAGAGGAAAAGGATTTGACCTTGAGCCTTTGGAAGAAACATGACTCTACTGACACCTTGATTTTGACCTTCTGGACTCCAGAGCCATGAGGAAATGAGTAAGTATGCTTTAACTCACCCCGGTTACAGGGCATTGCTAAGACAGCATTGGGAAATGAACACACATCTGTTTACAGCGGGTGCCATGACAACAGTAATGCTATCTTGGCATTTAGCGGCCACTGTCCAAGAAAATCGTCAACCCCATGGAGCATCGATTCTTATCCTGTGGGTCATGACCCCTCTCGAGGTCAAACTATCCTTTCCCAGCGGTTGCCTAAGAAAACATAGATATTTACCTTACAGTTCATGACAATGGCAACATTATAGTTGTAACATAGCAACAAAAATAATTCCACGATTGGGGGTCACCACAGCATGAGGAAAAATTGTATTAATGGGTCATAGCATTAGAAACATGGGGCCATGTACCCCGTTTTGCCTAGTGTCACACATATGGGGGAGCATGTGGTATGCCTCCCAAAAGTAGATTTTGCTTGGCTGAATGTGTGGAAGTTTCTTCACCTCGCTGAGCATCAGAGTCCTACCACCCCTTGTTGAAGCCCCGGGAACTCACAGTCACGGCTTGTGTCCTTTTTTTTCTGGATTCTCAATCACTGGGACACCTGGGAAGGATCCTGTGAATTCAGAAGGCCCTAATCCCCCTGCTAGTA